CAGTTTAGACTAAACATATACGGTAAGGTTTTGTGGAAATAGCAAAAGAAACATTTTTCAGTCTCTCAGTTAAGCATTATTGAAGTCGAAGACTGCATTTACTGCAGATATACAGGCGGTCTCTTCTGGCAGAAGTCCTGTTCCAGAATTTAATTAAAAGGCTGGAATAGATGCTGGAATAGACACTATACTCATGAAACCTGACAATCTGGCGAAGTTGAAAAGGGCTGCAAGCACGTTAGAGGACAGGCTTGAAAATCAAAATGATCTTGACAAAGCTACAGTTTGAAAAAATATGTTGCTATTCAACAGGGTCTGCACAATACAGCTCTAAGTTGGAAAAGACTGCAGAAATCAAGGATGGAACAAGTGGTGTAGGAGCAGTCCAGTTAAAGGGTTGGGTGTAACAAGATGCCATTGTATTAGTATTTCAGTTCTGATGAGATGTAGAAGCAGATCATCACTTTTCAAGCTTTGCTTTATACACAGAGAGCTCATGGAACATATGAAAATAGATTCCTTTTCCCAAAAACTCAAACAGAAAACATGTTTTAGATGGACCCAAGCGCACTGCAGCTGCTAGAAGGCACACAGGCTGCAGTGCTAGGCTACAGTTAGTCCAAGGTGGAAATCTCTGACACATGGATAGTGCAAAAATCATGAGCTCAGCACCAGCTGTTGCACTCCACACCACGGTTCCTGTTGCCCCACACTACTTGTTAAAGCACTCATCACCTTAATGCATCACAAGCTGACTGTGAATCAGCTGTGTTGTGAATAAGACAAAGGTGACAGCAAGATTACGAGTGATCTGTGAGGCAAGTGAAGCAATCCTTCTAGTATCTGGTAAGATGGCTGCAAGAGTACTGCATTCAGTTTTAGCGACATACTTTTAATTAACAATTGGAGCAGCTTAGCCTAGAACGATCAGAAGAAAGCCATGAGGAAGATTGCCACTCTCAAAAGCACAAGTTGCAGGGAAAGATTTGGGACTGTTTTATCTAGAGAAGAAAAGTTTTCATGTCCAACAAAGGCTGCTGCAAAGAGAAGGGGGATAAATTGACAGCTGTGTCTACTGTGGGGGAGGTAATACAGATTGCTGATAGGAAAACCTGCCTAATAGAAGGGTTGAGAAAGCAGTGAGTCAGGAAAACTTCAGTATCCACAACACAGGAAGACTTCACAAACAGGTTAGACAAGCATCTTTCAAACTTGGTTTAAACACAGCCCATTCTGCCTTAGGAAGGGAGATGGACTGGATAATCCCTTGAGATCACTACCAGAGCTATTTGTTTTGCTTCCCTTTCAAATGTAAATAGTAAAATTACTCTTCCCTGCTCCTTTCATCTCATTTTTCTAACTTTTGAATCATTCCACTGATCTTCCATCTGCATTTCATATTACATCTTTCTGTTCCTTCCATTATCCATCTCAATCTATGTCTCGATCCCATCTCTGCCTTTCTGATTTTGGCACTCTGCTTCATCTGTGGCATTGCTTCTGCTAGGATCCCTTCTTTGCCCAAGTGCCAAGCAATGTGCCTGTCTTAATTCAGTTGCCTACACAATCAAAGCATTTGGCTATAACTGCTTAACTAAACATTATATCTTCATTCACTTCCCCTAAGTGTTTATGCAATGGGTAAAAATGACAGTGTTGTAGTTAGTTAGCTTCTTTTTTTTCTTTCAGCACCTCCTTTTATGATTACTGACCATTTGGTGTACAAGAATCAAGGATCATTTGGTGTACAAGAATACAGCAACAATGCAGAGGAGAAAGAATCCATTTAATCATTGCAGAAGCTTACATGGATTACCTTTTAAATAACAAAAAGCATCACTACTGCTCTAATGTTAGAGGAATGGATATAAGCAAAAACATTATGTGTGGATACAAAGCTCTATGGCTGTTTCCGAGTTAATCTTCAGCTACTTATGTAAAAGAACAGACAGTGGTTACTGCATGTTTCTTTGCTGGTATTTCTGCTTTCCTCTAGTGCTTTGAGAGCACTCAGCATAACCCATGGGCACGGAGCAGAGCCCCACTGCCACCAGCTGCTGATGGGTAGCCCAGTGCCAGCCTCTGGGCTGAGCTCCCAGTTATCACACAAGCCTTGTGTCCCTTGTGAGACACTTCTGTTTACCATCTTTCACACTGACATATGACAATAAAACACATTGTCCTATAGAAAATTACTATCCTTTTGCATTGCAGCTATCACTGTCATGAATCTGGGTGTCCATTCTTTAGACTTTACAACCACACAGTTGCCGTTAGATGCTGCGTTTTCTTCAATACACACAGCAAATCCGCAATTTGCAATTTGCAAATCCGCACTCTCTATATGCTTGCAACTTACTACCTGAGTTAACCTCCAGAAGCTCACTGGCAAGCCCAAAGCCTTCTTTCAGTTCATTAACAGCCAGCTGGCACAAAGGCACGATGAATGAAAGGGAAAGTAGGATTCTATGGAGAAAATTAACTTAATTTCTGTCTTTATTAAAAGGAGCCACGGTCCAGAAGGCCTGGGATTTAAAAGCAAACTTGCCTTTTCTTAAATGTGATTTTCAGAAGTAGCAGATGCACTATTAAATTACTATCAGCTTTACAATATACCTAATTTATTAAAAAGTTCATTGGTGAACAGTTTGTTTCTAATATATAATATGTGCCATCAAAAGAGCTATGGCCATCTCTATTAGGTAATTATTAAAAATTAAAAGTAAATTCTGCTTACTTTATTCAAGCAAATTGTGTCTCTTCTTAAAAATTGTATTAAGCTAAATGAGACAACCAGTACCAAAGAAAACCTTAACTCCCTTCAGCTGTCTATGTCTTCTACATTCCCTTTATGTCTTAGATAGTGCTTCAAGAAACTGCATTTTGAAAAAAAAAAAAATGTTCCTTCCATTAATTTTTCTTTTCAGCTCCTTCTTTTTCTCTTCTCTGGCAAAATGAGTTCAGTGTTCCCTAGCAAATGAGGTGTTCAGTGTAAGTGAACAATGGAAGCACTTCATAGACTTATTTCTTGCTGTTGAATTCATTCCTATATTAAATATTTTGATAAGCTCAAGCAAAACATAACTTGACTGATCTACCAAATATGTTGCCTGATAACATCCATTTGAGTTTTGGGGTTTTTTTTTCCAGTCTTACTTTGGAGAGGAGAATGATTTGCATAGTTCACTCAGGAATAACTTAAGGATTTCTTGAGGACAAATACAGATGTTTTCAACTGGGTGATTGGGTGTTAGAAATAAGTTTTACTTTTAGTTTTAGATAGGAGTCAACTTTGTTAAAAAGAAAAATTAAGAAAGGAAAGTTGAACCTTATTAGATATTGAGCTGGACCATTTATTATTATTACATAAACAACTCTTCTGTATTTTTTGAAATACAGACCATCCCTAAAAAGGGAATTTATAGCTTTAGTCACATTCGAGCCTCGTGGGACATTAATAAGAAGATTATCAAAGAATGATTTTTAAATATGTCAAAGGACTTTGTAATTTTATGCATGTGTCAGAGTCCACAAATACTCAGGACACATTCAGATGGGAACCTATGAGGATCTATTTTCATTTTCAGTGTGCTACTTGATGTGTACACGCATAGCTTGGACTGCAGTTTCAGCAGAGCCAGGGTGAACACCTTGCTGTATTGCAAAGCCTACGACGGTAGTTTGTACCTTGAACATAAAGCTGTGCTCAAGCCACACTCCAGTGTGCAGATACTCAGGCATTTTCTGCCTGAATCCACACCTTCCCCTAATGACCAAAGGCAGCTCTGTTGGCAGCTCTCTACATGACAGACTCCCACAGCTCATTGCGTGAATGCTTCTGAGCAGGCCTGGGTGCCAACTGAGGGCTACACAGCTACACACAGAGGTACTCCAAACCAAAATCTTCATATATGATTCTCAGAGTAAGCATTTATGTGTCCATCTCACTAGCAAGGCTTACACCCTACAGCATAGGCCACAGATGTTTGTATCCTTGACTTATGTCTAGGTCACAGCAGCGTAGGGAGAAGTTCAGGTTTGATTTTTTATTCACCAAATATATGCAAGGTTTGGGTTAAACAATTTAAAATCATGTCAGATTGTTAAAAAGCAAAAACTGTTCTGGGTAGAGAAAATTACAAAAGAAAGTGAAGAACATCATCTCAGGGATTTTAAATGGCAGTATGTTTAATTGCAGCATTCTGAATGGTGCTTCACAGAAGAATGTATGCAAAAGGTTCATAAATAGCAGGAGCAAAGCAGTTGTTTTGCATTTAGCTAAAAATTTCATGCATTTCTTTCCTACAAGTTGGAATATCTGTTATTCCCACAGCTCTAATTAAGACAGTTACCTGTAATACAGTGAAAAATTAGAATCAGGGCTCCTGCAAATTAAACTGCTGCTCCAAGAACCAAATTGATGGCCAGTTCAAGAGAGGGGTCTCTCAGGGTCTCTTCTTGGAGCCCTTATCTGAGTTCACCTTTTGTAAAGGGAAAACAGCATGTGGACCTACTGCAAGACCTTAGGAACAGACCTTTTTGATTCTGTATTTGTATCATGGGTCTCACTCTGCAAGTGCAGAACATACAGACTGCTATTACATGGATAATACATTAAAGACTTGGAATCTGCCAGGTACAGTGATAAAGACAGATAAAAATTTCAAAGAGAATTTTATTATACGTAATACATAAATCTGTGTTCAACATGAAATATTCCAAGTCCACTGTCCAAATGCTTCATGGAACGTTCTTTAGAAAATTGTATAACAACAATAAAGCAAACTGGCACTGACTAGTTGCATTAAGGAAATATTAAGGACAACAGGTAGTTTTATAGCTACCTTTTATAATGTCTCTGATTCAAGTATTCTAAAAAGCACCTTCCAGGTTCTAATATGATTAGAAACACACTCCTTCTCAATGCTTTTCCATAGCATACTATGAAATGTGCGCTACCCTTACTCTCTGTGCTCCAATGTCTTTTCCTCCTCTTTTCCCTTTGAGAGAGGAAAACCGCAATAGTTCAGCTGAATGTTAAAATCCATAAAATGGATTGAAAAGGGGGTGCCATATGAGAGATGGAGAAGTGAGTATTCAGGCCATTTTTAAAAAAAACTGTACAGAAATCCTCTGAGTGTGTATTCAGAAGAGTGTGCAGGAATCATACTAAGCAACAAGAAAACTCTTAGATTTCTGAGAGCTGCACATCCAGAGTGGATACTAGCCTTTCATTTTCAAGAGATTCATGTTTTGTTTAGTTTGTTTCTATTACTTTTTTTTTTTAACAGATGAATACAAATTCTTCCAACATGATGGCCTTGGCTCCTAACACTTCTAACAAAAGAGAGACAGTGTGCATATTTGGAACTGGTGATTTTGGACGAGCTCTGGGGCATAAAATGATTCAGTGTGGCTACCCTGTGGTGTATGGAAGTCGGGGCGCCCAGATATCAAACCTGATTCCCAAGGATGCAGAGGTGTTGAGCCACACAGAGGCAGCACAGAAAGCTGCCATCATCATTATAGCAATCCAGAGGCAACATTACAACTTCCTTACACCACTAGCAGAAATTCTCCGTGGAAAAGTCGTGGTGGACATAAGCAACAACTTAAAATTAAACCAGTATCCTGAATCCAATGCAGAGTACCTTGCTCAGCTGCTGCCAGGAGCCAGGGTTGTGAAAGCCTTTAACACCGTGTCAGCCTGGGCCTTGCAGTCGGGCGCGTTGGATGCAAGCCGGCAGGTAGGTCTGAGCTACAGGGATTTCCTTTGTCATAGTTACTCATTGTATGACTTCTTATTAGCCAGACAAAATACACATGAGACATAGGAATCAGAGAGGGTTGAAATGGTATTTTCTCTATAATTTCCCATTTCAAAATAATTTGAGCTAAAATTTCCTTTGGGTTTGGGATATGGCATGACAAGGAATATCAATAGCTTGCCTCTGAACTCAGTGTTTAGAGACATGAGACAAGCAAGGACAGAAAGATGGCAGAGCTACAAAGAGAGAGACAGCAAATCAGGAGGACGTGAGGGTTGTATCAGTTGTTCATAGGAGTTGTAAAATTAAACAGAAAGGAGATAGGAGGAATATAATGAAGCAAGAATAAAATGAAAACAAGAAAAAACAGGGAGGCAAGGCATATGATAGGCCAATGAGTATGGGCAACAGAAGTGAGCCAGAAGATGAATAAATTACTAAAATTTCCTGAATTAGAATCTATCACCACCTAAGTTTAACACATCAGTGTGTGCAAACCATTTTAACCTGCTCCTTAACCACAGGCCAGCAAGCACAGAGCTGCGCATAGGAAGAAAAACGGCAGGTTATTTGAAGAAAAATCACTTATTATTACTGTGTTTTCTGCCACTTTGAGGGACAGTGCTCTTGTACAATGCATGAAATCACCCAGCTATTCAAACCATTACTAGCTTTGCTTTCTGCTGCCAGATAAATGGTTTTGGCTAAACCAAAGGTCAAATATTCTATGCAAAGACTTGTACTAGGCATGTTATACATCAATGTTTCCAGATATAAAATTTTGCCACTTGAAACAATATCCTTCCCCAAACTAAAAAATCATATTCAAAATTCTTGGACTGGTTGGCCAAATGTACCTATAGGCTACTTTTTGCCCTTTATTAATTAAGGTCAGCAGGGAAGCCAACAAGCAGCCTAGGAGGCTTGTGCTCATTGTCCATATCCAGGACTGGGATGGCAGCAGAGAATGTCACAAAAATCTCTCAAAATAAAACTTCTGTTTGTTTTTGGCTGCAGGTGTTTGTTTGTGGAGATGACATGGAAGCTAAACAAATGGTGATGAATATTGTTCGTGCACTGGGTCTCACTCCACTAGATCAGGGATCCCTCTTGGCTGCTCAGGAAATAGAAAATTACCCTCTGCAGCTCTTTCCAATGTGGAAGTTTCCCGTCTTTTTGTCCCTTGGCCTAACTGCATTCTTCTTCTTCTACTGTTTGGCTCTTGATGTAATTTACACTTATGTATACGAAAAAAATAACTTTTCATTTTTCATTGCAATTACCATTCCAAATCGGATCTGCCCTGTAATGGCACTCACTCTTCTTGGCTTGGTTTATCTTCCTGGTGTACTTGCTGCAATTATTCAGTTATATAGAGGTACCAAATACCGCCGTTTTCCAGACTGGCTGGACAAATGGATGCTGTGTAGGAAACAACTTGGGCTAATAGCCTTGGCATTTGCTTCTTTGCATGCTGTGTTCACTCTTGTTAGTCCAATTCGCTCCTTCGTAAAATGGAGAACCAGCAAAGCAATCGTCTCCCAGGTGAGTTTTGTTCCCTGCCCTGTGTCTTTCTTCTGGCCTTGTTATAAATACTGCCTTCTATCTTGAGCTTCAGAAATCCATGTGGACAGCCTAATGATCTTTACAATATGGTAATATTCCTAGTTAGTTTCTATGTTCCTTTTAATCACTGGTATATCTAAAGTTTATCTATATTATGTTGAGCTGAGGGGATTTCTGGCCCCAGTCTTATTCCTAGATAGTTGATATATTAATAAAATAATCAGGGAAAATGTAAACGTTAGGAGTACTTTAAAGAAGCATATTTTCCTATTTCTCCATATACCTTTAAGAATAGAATATATTTTTACTTTCTGATTTTACTTAACAAGAAAGGATCACATATCTGTCCTCAAGGGTAGGTATACAGAAATGTAAAACTTGTACCACAATTACAGGTACATGGAAACCGCATGTAATATAATGCCTTCTTCTTGACGAGGCATTCAAAGTAAATCTCCAATGATTTTCAGAGAGTTAATATATAACGTTTATCTCCTAGTTATTTTAAAGAATTCTTTTTTTCTGCTTATTGATCCTAAAACTGCCATCACTAAAATATACCTGGTCTTCTTTTCTTCAGGCACTGAACAATAAAACAGAACCACTCGACACCACTAATGCCTGGCTTAGTGACTCTTACTTGGCTTTGGGAATTTTAGGGTTTTTTTTCTTTGTTCTTGTGGGAATAACCTCCTTGCCTTCAGTCAGCAACAGTGTCAACTGGCGAGAATTTCGATTTGTACAGGTAAGAAAATGACTTCTAGAAAAACTTTCTTTATGAACTGTATACTAGAGACTTATAGCTTTCCTCCATTATTATCTCCAAATGTGATGTGTGTACTCTCCATGTCAGACAGTGAAAAAAATATCTACGCAGTCATAGAGCTTACCTGTAGAAACCCACAACTGCTCTGATGACTGCTCATAGTGCAATTGGGATTACTGCATAAACAAGAGAAAGTTGGGAAGATGTGAGCTCCAAAATGACTAACAGGAAGCTGACTTTGACATCAAATTCCACAATTCCACTAAGTAGCAAAATAATTTAGCCATTTATTGGGATAATTTTGTTGGTTTACAAGATAATTCGGTTAAAATGGATTTGAAAAATTACTTTATAACTCGAATCCTCTCAGTGCCAAGCATCTAAAGAGAGACTGCAATTTCCACAGAGTGTAAAAACTGATGTGCTTATAAACAGGCTGCCCTCACTGTAATCTCAGTCCTCCTTTACGAGGAAGTTTGGTGCAAGCGGCCATGCCTCTGCAGGAGCTGAGCTGGATGGGAGGGGGGGCAAGTGAAGGTAAAATTACTATCAATGAATGTTTTATCAAGCAAAAAACTTGCACAGTATGGTACTTCTGGATGGGTAGCACTAGAGCATAAAAAACCTTGGATCTCTCCACTAAATGCCAGCACTTTCTCTGCTTTTTCACAAATATGACAGCTACTAGGGAATATGTGTGAGCCAGGAAAAATTATCATGGATATTGACAGAGAAGAAGAACAAACTTTGTTTCCCCTATATCCACTTGAATTAATCTTTATTAAAAACAATAATAGCCTTTATATAAAACAGTTTCTTTTCACCAGTCCCCAAATTGGCACATTCCCTAAATCTTACTGTGTTCTTAAAATTGCATTTATTCTGTTTTAATTTACTGTTTTAACCTCCACTTCTTTCTTTCTTTCCTTCATTTTCTCCTAGTCCAAACTGGGATATGTGACACTGATTTTGTGTACTGCGCACACGCTGGTTTACGGTGGAAAATGGTTCCTGAGCCCATCAGCATACAGATGGTATCTTCCAAACATCTATATGCTCTCCCTCGTTGTGCCATGTACTGTACTGGTTGTCAAATTTGTGCTGATATTTCCTTGTGTGGACAAACCTCTCACACAAATTCGACAGGGATGGGAGAGGAATCCCAAATACTCGGAACAATCAAATTACATTAAAAACAAGTCTGCTGTATAATTAGACTAAACTGTATCATCAAAATATATATCTCTATCTGGAGAGGGAGAGAAAAAGTGAAAAACTGGCCTGGCCCTGTGTAAAACAAAGTTACCCCAATGACAAGCTTAAAATACAAATCAAATGAGGCAACTGATTTTCTACACCCCAGGCAGTCTTTCACACAGGTGCAGGCCCTCTTTTCTGCTCTATATATTCCTCCTTGCCTGTTTACCCTCCATTTCTAAGAAGGGTATGTGAGACGTAAGTGGTGATCGCTGTCTCTCCTCTGTGTTCCAAACCTGCTCCAGAGCTGGGCAGATCCACAGTAACCTTTGCTGTTAGACAGCGTCTGCTCCTATTCCCTATCCTGCCTTTTGGGACTCAGGTCTACATGCACCTTCACACATCCACAGAGATCCATATACACACCTGCATGTGTTTCCACACATTTCCCTGTTTCCACCCCCAGCATCCACCAGTACATCCACCTCTTCCTCCTAGCATTAGTTTATCCTCCATTAACATCTGATCCAAAGAGATCTATGTTCATACCTTAGAGATAGTTGAGTAAGATTCATTTAGTTTATGTACAATGACATTCAGAGGGTATGGGTCAAGGACTGCTGAATCTTTGCTTGTAGGTCTGTACCACAAATTCATGGGCAAGGGGAAGGAGAAAAGATCAAAATGGCAGAGAGATATGAGAAGTGCTCACAAGCCTATGCTTCTCAAGTATAGGTAAAAAATGATCTGTGATCTTTTATGTAAGCAGTGAGTTGTAAGGAAAGAAACTGAAGGAAAATCCTTTCTGTATGAGGGGGTTGTATTATACATCATAGTTATATCTCATGAAGATAATATTGTTGGTATTTAAAAAAATAAATCTTTGGATGTTATATTACAAATATTCTATGAAAATACACATATTTTAAAGACAATAAAGATTTTTTTTTTACACTATTGAGCTTTGTTATCACTTCTGGAACCCCTTTTGCTGTGATGCAGCTGCTGGTGTGCTCAGTTGCACAAAGATTTTGGAAAGCCTCAGGACAAAGAATAAAATGGGATCCTGCCTTCAGCCAGCTGCCTGGACTCACTTTCCCCGATCTTTGCTTCTTGGGTGCTCAGCAGATCTTTGCTTAGTCAACTAAGTGGGCTGAGGATGTTGTGGAAAAACAGGATCCAGCTGCGATGGTAACCTCCTCTTAAATTACAAACAGAGGATCCAACAGTGTCCTTTGGATTGGAGAATAAAGAAAATGCAAAATGTGTTTGTTTTTATAGGAAGATAATTGCTAACTGTTCTTTTACTTTTCTGTTGTTCTCCTCCCTGTCCATACAAAGAATACTCACACATATGAAAGTATGAGCTTGCTAACTAGTACAGATAACTGTGCTTTAAAAGAAGCATTATCAAGCAGCTTAAAAAAAATAATAAAAAACCCCACACAAACAAACTAACAAACCTATCTGAATGATACTTCTCCAATCATTTCTCAACAGTGAAGTCTTTCATTCTAGACACACATCCCCTTTTCACGTGATCCTCTGGCCCAGAAAGAATCTGTTCTTAATACCCAAAAGAATGGTAAAGGAGTTTGGGAAATCAGCAAGTGATGGAGCCAGATTTCTTAGAAATAATTCTGGCACCAAGTACTCTCACTAAACACCACTGGTCCATATGTTATACTTGTCCTAAACTGATATACATGTACTGATACAAGTCTTTACAGAAGTTTTCCTTGACCTGTGCCATGATGGAGTTGTACTACATTTCAAGTTTCCTTCAATGATTTTCCACATTAATCTTACAGAATCATTTCCTGCAGAAGGGATCAGGTATAGCTCAAAAGGCCTAATAACAACACTGTTGTGAGGATGCCTGTAACACCTTTAGAGCTTCCCAGAGAAGGGAGGGGTAGAAGCAGCAGAGAGAAGGAAAACAAGACAACGAGAGAGAGTTTGTGTATGTATATAGGTAAAAGAGAAAGGGACAGACAGAGCAGAAAATAAGTAGCAGTAGCCTCAGTTAATACGCTCTAGATTTGCCATTCTGGGGGCAAATTCTAGTCTCAGTGACACAGTTACTTGATATTTATATTATTATGAGTAACAACAGTTCCAAGGGGCTGACACATACTAGGTTTTTATATCAGTTTTTAAAGGATCTATTTTTGGGGGTTCTGCCTATCTAAACCTGATCTAAAACCTAGCCTTCCTCTCCCACAGTTCAGTCAGTGGGTTGGAGTTTAAACTGCAACAGCCATGGCAAGTCCCACCCATTTAAAAGCTATGCTCTGCATCTTTTCTCTCCAGTGAACAGGCTCTTGCATGTCTCTGAGTGCCTTGCATTAAGGAGAACCACAGGCCCAACCAGGTCATCTTTACCCTTACTGAGAACCAGTGCAAAGTAACACTGGCCTGAGTGAACACTGCCTTGTACACTCACTGACATCTAAACCACAGTCTCCAACACCCACAGGACTGTCGCTCCTGCAGGAAAGACATTCTTTGGGGATGGATATCTCATTGCTTTGCTACGTGAGATGTACTGGATGTACCAAGATGTACTGGAAGGGCTAAGTGGCTGGGTATAATTTGCAATTTGCTGTTTGCTCCAAGGATAAAGTGCCAATATCTGCTGTGTACAAACTGAGGAGGCAATGCTGTTTGCTTACACGGGGTGTGTGCAGCAGCTCCCAGGAGAAGATCCAGAGCCCTCGCATCTGAACTCAGCAGCATATGCTTTGTTGACTTAGGTAGGTAATAGGTCAGATCCTCATCAGCACTTGTTTTTCCAGACAGAGTGAAGGATTACATATCCTGTTATTCTCGGGCAGCTGGGGAGTATTTGTTTTAAAAATTTACATATTTACTTCTTGAACAGGGTAGAGAAAAATCAATTCCTTCAGTAACTATACATGATAATTAAAGTATTCAATGGCAGTATTTTGAAAAATATAACCAGTGCCTCAAAAACTGTTGGTAGCTTGTATACATTTCTCATGGTTCAGCTCTTGGTATTTTTTTTTCTTTTATGTACTGACAAAGCATGGTCAAAAAGGAGATCAGAAGGACCATAAAAGGAATTGTAGAAAAGATGTTTTCCATATGGTACCCAGAAGCCATGAAGACCTTTCATGACTATATATATAAATATATATATATATATATATATATATATATATATACACATAAAATGCCATTCTAAGAATTCCCCCAGGAATAAAGCATTGATTATCAAAACCACTTCTAAATCAGAGTCAACACTTGGAAAAAAAAAATTACAGCTTTTTAAATAAGTGGTCACGTGGATATTGTCACAATAATAATTAAGTTTTGATTTCATTGCATAAAAAATTTTTATTCTGATGCACCACTGCATAGTGCGATAGACAACATAGTGTGTAAACCTCTACACCCTTCATGATACAGCTAACTTCACTTTCTTTGCCTTTTTGTTATACCCAGGGAATATCTATTGCAACCAAAATGTTCTCTTATTATTGAATTAATTAGACTTGCTTGAAACAGAATGGGATGTCAGATACATGCTGGCCTCAGGGAATGGAGCTGACACCATCTGACTGACACAGCTGACACTGCTGGAACCTGAACCACTGAGATCTGAGCAATTCCCTTTAGTTCCACCACACTGCACTGCAAGTCCTGAGATCTGCAACTTATTTTTGCTCTGCAGCATGACCTTCTGTCAGGCTTCTCTGCTTTATCTAACACTCACCTCTCACTCCAAGACATGAGGCTTCAAGACCCAGTCTACAAAGCTCCTTTTTTGCAGTATGTCAGGTCTTTGTAGCTTGCTCTTGTAACCTCCTCAGACACAAGATTTTACAAGAGCACCTTTTGTTTCAAACACTGGTTTGAGTATGTTGGATTCACTAGTCCAAAAAAAGAACTAGTGAATAGTATGAACACTTGCAGTAGCTATGTAACTAATGTTCAGCTGCTCTTCCATACTGCAATTAAAATATTTAGTAAGCATCCAGTTTTCCCATAAGAGGGTAAATATGGCTTTTTCCAAACACTATGGAAGTTTTTCTCTCCTGCAGAGATTTTTTTTCTTTTCTCTGTATTACACATTTTGTTGTGGATCTCCATTTCTATCACTAATTCCTGACCTTAACATGAAAGGTTCACTCCTTCAAAGAAGTTGACATTCGTCAAGATGTAATTTTTTTATCTTCACCATGAAAAAACTGCCCATCTCTTACTCTTGCACATTGTGTTAATTGAATGTTCTTGAATAGACATAAATATTAGCTCTGACAAGACTGGATCCCAACACATTATTTTATTACAAGGAACCTCAGTACTACAAGAAAAACACACTGCAGGACCTTGAGAGGACATGCACAAACCTCAGAAAACTGCACAAAACTTAGCTAATGCCTCCAAATGCTGCAAACCAGAAGGGGTGGTAATATTTGTTCATATGGTTTCACAGCACTCTTTATTCCTGTCTTTGTTTTTGCTTCCACATCTAGATTTGCTTATTATTTGAAATACAGCCCCTTATTGTGCTTACTTATCTTTGCAATTGCTTGGATTTAAACTAGGAAAAGCTTAACTGCTATCAGTAGTCTCAAGCTATTAAACATCAGTGCATAGGCCTTTCCTAGTTTATTACCCATTAATTTTTTTTTGTCCCCAGTTTTATGGAAGATGGTAAAGAGTAGTCTTTATAATCCTTTCTTTAGAGGCTTCAGAAAGAGATAAACGAAAAATGAAAAAACGTCAAGGCATAGTAATATGCTAATCATTACAGGACACAAGTAGTTGAAAATCAACAGACCAAACCAGAATGTCCCAAAAAAAGGCATGTTTGGGACACATTATCTATGATAGAGTGTTGGCATCAAAGGACAAAGGTATTTTTAACTAAATATTCTGGAGAAAAGTATATGGAACAAAAGTAAAAAAAATTATTAGAATGAGGAAGTGAGAGAGAAGGAAAGAAAAAGGAGGAAGACAAAGGTGGTTTTCTTCTTTTCTACTGGCTCTATGACAGAAAATGTCATGTAT